CTATCTCTCATCTCTATCTTTTCCCTTTTATGAATAAACCTTTAGATTTTAGATTCTAAAGGATTGGCAACAGTGTGATTTGTGGGCAAGATCTGATTTGTATATTGACCTGGGTCTGGGGCTTGGTCCTTTGGGATCAGGAGAACCTTTTTTCTTTTATTTGGGTATTGGTTTTCATAACCGTTTGTCCCCATAACGAGTGGTACTGGTGGTGATACTGGGAAACTGGAGTGTCTAAGGAGATTGCTTGTGAGACCGAAGTCCTCTTAGTCTGGCTGGTTTGGTTTGCCTTAGAGGTGGAAAAACCCCAGCCTTGGGCTGTAACTGCCCTATTTGAGCAATTTGTCCTGAGTTGGCACTCTCAGTTGGGTTCCGCCAGAACTGCATTGTCACACAGCTACTACAACTTTATAGCTTTTGGAAAATGCACATTTTAACCCCGTGCATACTCAAGATGCTTAAATATTCTATTTATGTAGAGCACCTTTCATCTGAAAGCTTTTACAAATCATATATTACAGCTGACTGCTCCCATAAGAAATGCTGCAGATCATATTGTACTACGCTAGCAGGAGGGGAAATATGGTCAAGGACAAAGGAGCAATCTCATGGTGTCATTCTATATAGACTATTATACTGTGCTCATCATCATCATATCCGAGCACCTTCCAATAGTGCATTAAGCAATGTGACTAACATCTATCATGTCCGCTCATGCTCCCAGGTGGAGAACCACGTGAAGTGTCTTGGTTTGGTTGATTGGGGGGGGTAAGTTGTGCCATGGGATCTCTAATGTTAACAGACAGCAGATAGTGATCTGTTTTAAACAAGATACTACATGGAATCAGTTTATCCACCACAGAAAAATGAAAAGGTGTGTTGACTATGCTTTCTCTTGGCATTTTAATACCTGAGCTTTAGACTATAATGCCACTCACTTAGATTTAAAAGATTGAGTGACTGAAATGCTGTTAAAGACTGAGACAGAAATCAAACAAAAACCCTAAAGATGTATTTACAATCCCTCAGAGCAGTTGGTCAGTGTCTAACACCAGTCTGACTAGATCTTATTTCCAATCCATATTGAAGTATTAGCTGATTTTCTAAAACAGACGACCATGCAACTTGTACAAGGAACAGCTACAATGAGTGCTAAATGAGCACCATAACTGCTGGGACAACATTTTCAAAATCAGGTGCACAAAGAGTCTCCTGAATCCATATTCAGGTGCCTAACTAAGTGGGATGATTTTCAGAGGTGCTGTGTATCCTGCAGCTCCCAGTGAAGGCGCCCATTGTTTTAAAGGCTACAGAGTTAAAAAATAATGAGCACCCTCCCTAGTAGCTGCAGAAAGGAAGAATGACCTAGTGGTTAGGGCACTAGCCTTGGAGTTAGGAGACCTGGGTTCCAGTCCCTGCATCACCACAGACTTACTGTTTGACCTAGGGCAAGCCAGTTAGCCTCTCTGTGCCTCAGTTCCCCATCAGTAAAAGGGGCATAATAGCACTTCCCTTCCTTAGAGGGCTATTACGAAGGTAATATATACTAAAGATTGGGAAGTTTCCTAATACTATGGTATTGGGGGGCCATATAAATACCTAAGATAGAGCAGATAGATTATATGAAAAAAAACATTTTATACTAAGAAAAACACCTTCAAAAAATGAAGAAATTATCAATTGCACCCAGTTCTGCTACACAAGCAGATAGAACTATCATATGCATCATAGCAATCGGCCTAGCCTTTGAGTTTCTCCTATTCATGTTAGTACAGAAAAAAAAATTAATAAATTAAACTTCCTGTAGTTAAGAGTAACTACAATTTTGAGTTCTGTAACTGAGAAAAAGATAAGGCCAAAACCCTGTTCTTAACTTAAAGGTTTGCTACAAACTGCTGCCCAAGCAACAGTTTCGTTTCACAAAAGTAGGTACAACTGCCAGTTACAACACTGTGTGAATGAATGCTGCCAGAACTTGTGTCACTTACCGAAGCTTCCTGGAGCAAATGAAAAAGGTGGGCTGCCGTCCATGTAACATTAGAGCCTGTCTGCTACCAAAATGCCTTGAAGATGGGAGGAAATTCCCAAGTTCTAAAATAGCCCAACGTAGCTACCTTTTCCCACAAGCTCATGTTTACCAGGAAACTGCCATCAGCTCAAACACCCAGTGTTCTTCCCGAGTCTAAATCCAGAATGGGGCTCCTTGCATGCAGAAGGTAAAACCAGGTTTTTTTGTTACTACATTGTTGAAGTTAATAATAGAAGGCCAACACCAGATACT